AAACAGCCCGTTTTTCATTAAAACAGGCCCGTTTTTTAAAAAATGGCATGGATAGCCTTTAGTTGGCATAGAGTATTCCTGGGGGCTGGGGGGGGAATTGAGCAAAAAACGGCCCATTTTGCACTCATTTCTTCCCCCCCCAGTCCCCAGGAGCACCCTGAAAGCCTCCTAAAAGCTATGCACAGCCATTTTGGTGAAGGGAGCGTGGTTTCTGGAGGCAAAAATGCTGTATTCAGTGTATAAGATGCACCCAGATTTTCAATATCATTTTTTTGTCTTATACTCGAAAAAATACGGTACTTATATCTAGAGGAGGAGCATCCCTGTTTATTGGTGTGGTCCTTATGTTTCTGTATTCTTCCAGGTTCAGACTGGAATTTCAGAATTTTTGTTCAAGCTGTTCATCTTACGGTATCTGGAAGATGCAGATGGGAAAATCTGGCTTCGGAAACAGTGCCACCTCTATGTTGCAGAAATTCTGCAACCACCCCACTCACCAAAAAAACAAAGAGGATCTGTAAGTACATCCAGAGGCATAGAATATATATTTGCTGTGTTTTTAGTATTTTAGAGTAGAATTTTGAAACTGGTTTGTGGAATCCTAAAAGTCTCTAAAACAGTGGAAAAAATAGGGATTTAGTTGTGCCTATGGAGTGACTTAAGGAAAAAACCTTACAAGGGACAGGAAGAAAAACATCCCCCTACAAGGGATTAAAGTGAAACTCTCTACAAGGGACTGAACCTTTTTTCTCTTTATGGATTCTTAAAGAGATTTTTTTCATAATCTCTTGCAGCAAAGCAGTAATTCTATTCGTAGTAATTACAATTCTGCAGTATTGACAACCCTTTTCCATAGTACAAAATTAAAACAAAGTGGAAAACCCTGGAGCTTGTGAAAAGGAAAATATTTTTTTTTAAAAAAAAACCTTTTGCTTGTATTATAACTCCTTCCTTTTCTCCCTCTGGTTTATTTTCAGAAATTTCCAGGATTGAACTACAGTTTCCTTGATGTATTCCCCCAAATAACTTGCAGATCTCCTAAAGAAGTACTATGCAACGGTAGTCAGGAGAATTTATTTCATGACAGCAGTGATCCTGGAGTAGATCAAGGAATGTTCTGCAGTGAAGCTTTTCAGAGACCATTCCAGTATTTGTTACGAGAACACAGACGTGAAAATCTTGATGCGTTCAAGTATAGAAAAGGCTCAGTGGAAGGGACTCCAGAAGAATGTCTACAATTGCTCTTGATGTACTGTGGAGTGATTGATCCTTCTTGGTCGGAACTTAGAAACTTTGCTTGGTTTCTTAACCTTCAGCTGAAAAATTGTGAAACCTCTGTTTTCTGTAATGCTGCTTTTGTCCAGGACACTTTGCAGGGCTTTAAAAATTTTGTGGTCAAATTTATGATTTTAATGGCAAAGGATTTTGCAACTCCTTCCCTTAACATTTCTGATGAAAGCCCTGGAATGCAAGTTTTCGAAGACGTTACTGAGGAAGCCCTTGCTCCATTTCTGCTCCGGAAAAAGTGGGAATCTGAACCCCATCCATACATATTCTTTAATGAGGACTGTGTATCTATGACTTTCATCGGCTTTCATCTCCAGCACAATAACAACGGCAGCATTGATGCCATCAATCCTTTGAATGGCAATATTATCAAGAGAAATGTCATGACCCTTCAATTGTACATGGGATTAGCTCTTCAGAGAGTTCCATTCAATATTGATTTTGATGCACTGACTAGAGCTGAGAAAATTGAGAAACTTTGCATGGTCTTGGGGATCCAGTGGCCAACTGATCCTGATGAAACGTACGAACTTACAACAGACAATATCCTGAAAATGCTTGCCATTGAAATGAGATTTAGGTGTGGAATTCCTGTTGTCCTGATGGGAGAAACCGGCTGTGGGAAAACCAGACTTATAAAATACCTGTGTGAACTGCGTAAGAGTGGTGCAGATGCTGATAATATGAAGCTTGTCAAAGTTCATGGAGGTACCACAGCAGATGCAATCTATGATAAAGTGAGGGAAGCTGAAGATATGGCACAATGCAATAGGTTGAATTATAAGTTTGACACAATTTTATTTTTTGACGAAGCCAACACCACAGACGCGGTCAGCAGCATCAAGGAAGTGTTATGTGACCACACAATAGAAGGACAGCCTTTACTGCCCAACATGGGTTTACAGATCATAGCTGCATGCAATCCTTACCGCAAACACACACCAAAAATGATCCAACGCTTGGAGTCAGCTGGACTGGGTTATCGTGTCAAAGCAGAGGACACCAGCGAAAAGCTTGGTTCTATCCCCCTTAGGCAGCTTGTTTACCGTGTTCATGCACTCCCACCAAGCATGATACCTTTGGTGTGGGATTTTGGGCAATTGAACAATATCACTGAAAAACTGTACATAGAACAGATTGTGCAAAAACTTGCCAAGTCGATCACAATATCTGCTACTGAGGTCCAAATGATTACTGAGGTGCTTTTTAAGTCACAGACCTACATGAGACAGCGGAAAGACGAATGCAGCTTTATCAGCCTGAGAGATGTTGAGCGTTGTGTAGAGGTCTTCAAATGGTTTCACGGCCACAGTGAACGTCTTATTGAACATCTGGAGAGGTCTCTGGAAAGTAATCCTCCTAAAAGTGCAATCCAGAGAGACAGAATAATGTGGTCTTTGATTCTTTCTGTTGGTGTTTGCTACCATGCTTCCCTGGAAAAGAAAGAGGCCTACTGGAGAATTATCTGCAAAATATTTCCAGAACCATATGATAATGAAAAAGTCGTTCTTGAAGAAATTAGCTTGATTCAGGATCTTTTTTTGAGTGGTGTGCCTGATAGGCAAAGTATAGCAAAAAACATGGCTTTGAAGGAAAATGTGTTCATGATGGTAATCTGCATTGAACTTAAAATCCCTTTGTTTCTTATTGGGAAGCCGGGCAGCTCAAAATCTCTTGCCAAGACCATCGTGGCTGATGCCATGCAGGGTCCAGCAGCCTATTCGGACCTTTATAAGGAACTTAAGCAGATCCATTTGGTGTCTTTTCAGTGCAGCCCACATTCAACCCCTGAGGGGATCATAAATACATTCAAGCATTGTGCTCGTTTCCAGGAAGGGAAAAACCTCGGCGAATATGTCTCTGTGGTTGTATTAGATGAAATTGGATTGGCAGAAGACTCTCCCAAAATGCCTCTGAAGACTCTTCACCCTCTATTAGAAGATGGATGCATTGATGATGATCCACTTCCTCACAAGAAGGTTGGCTTTGTTGGGATATCTAACTGGGCCCTAGATCCAGCTAAAATGAATCGAGGCATCTTTGTATCTCGTGGAAACCTGAATAAAAATGAACTCATAAAAAGTGCAAAAGGTATTTGCTCTTCAGAACCTTTGTTGCTACAGAAAATTGAGTGTTTCTTTCCTATCTTTGCGAATGCATATGAAGAAATTTGCAAGAGTCAAACTAAGGATTTTTTTGGATTGCGTGACTATTACAGTCTTGTCAAAATGTTATTTGCTTTGACAAAAAATTCTAAAAGCATACCAGGTCCCCATGAAATAGCAGAGGTGGTTCTCCGAAATTTCAGCGGCAAAGAAGGCGTTGAAGTCTTGGATACTTTTATGTCTAAGATTCCAGAAGGAGGAGATGAAAATTATAAGGATATCAATACAATTGATTTAGTTGAGCAAAACATTTGTAGCAATTACCAGGAGGGTGAATGCCGATATCTGTTAGTATTAACAGAAAATTATGCAGCGCTTCAAATTCTCCAACAGCGTTTCTTTCGAGATACTCAACCAGAAATTATTTTTGGTTCCAGCTTTCCCAAAGATCAAGAATACACTCAGATTTGTAGAAACATAAACCGAGTCAAAATTTGCATGGAGACTGGGAAGATGGTGGTTCTTCTCAACCTACAAAACCTTTATGAGAGCCTCTATGACGCCCTCAATCAGTATTATGTCCAACTTGCTGGTCAAAAATACATTGACTTGGGCTTGGGGACCCATCGAGTGAAATGCAGAGTGCATCCCAAATTTCGACTGATTGTCATCGAGGAGAAAAAGGTGGTGTACGAACAGTTCCCCATTCCATTGATTAACCGGCTTGAAAAACACTATCTGGATATTAATACTGTACTGAACAAGTGGCAAAAGACCATTGTGGAAGTCTTGAAGAAATGGGTGGATGACTTTGTAACAGTTAAAACTGAGAAATATTTTATGGGTCAACAAACATACAAACCTTCTGATGTTTTTATTGGCTACAATTCAGACTCTTGTGCTTCAGTTGTCCTGCAGGTGACAGAAAATCTGAAAGAGTCTCTTCCTCCTGCACAGCTAAGCCAGAAAGTCCAAGAGCAGTCCGAGATGGTCCTCTTGAACTGTGCCACCCCAGATTCTGTTATCCGTCTCGGAGATTCTAAACTGGACTTTTTAAGCGATAGCTTGGCTAAGATATACTTTCAGCAACAGCAGCATACTTCCTTTGCCGAATTTTTGCACAGATGCCTTCGGTCAGACTCTGGAGGCCTTACAGTGTTTATTGAGGTAAACGGCAATTAAATGTTTCTTCCTATTATCCTCCCCTCCCCCTCCCATTCCCCTTTTTCTCATATTCATAAAGATGGTGAGTTCTGATATGTGGCAAGATGGCTAGAAATCAGAAGCCAAAACAGAAAATAGGGAATATAAATATATGGTGATACAAATAATGAATATTATTAAAAGTCTTAATAGGACAAGGTCAAAGCAATAGGAAGGCAATGCAGAAGGGAGAACTATAAAAGCTAGGCAGGAAAGCCGATATAGAAAGCTGTAAAATTACTGTATATTGTTATATATGTTCTGTGTTGTTTTTTTTCTTGTGTCTTCTTTACTGTTTTTAAAGCTTAAAGACAATTTTAAAATGCTCCAAATTAGAATGCATTTCTATTATTCTTAAGAGTCAGGGCTGGTTGCTTTATATTTTGTTTTGGGGATCATCGATAGAAACAGCTTTTAAGGTTTAGGTCTATTTTGAGACACTTTTAGATGGATAAAAATAACATTAACATGGGGAAAAATAATAGTTTTTACCAAGTCCAGGCTGTTGAGATGATCATTAATATGATCAGCTATACTTGCAAAGCAAACTTGGTTGCTTAATAGGTTGTAGAAAATGGCTTGTTCTGATGTAATCACAACTATTCCAACAATATTAATGTAGAAAGCTTGTGTGCTTAAGTGAGGGAAGGATATACTTATGGGGCTACTTATGATCTGGATTTAAACTTCCAATGGTCTTCCCCCTGCCCCCATACATGGCAGAACTTTGGGTACTCGGAAACACAGAAGTATTTATGGCTAGTTGGTTATGTGGCCACCTGTTATGAAGATTTTACCCCAATCCGGCATTTTTCAGAAAAACAGTGCCCATAGCGAATCATTGATTTGGTTAATGACTATTGCATTCGCTTAATCACAGATTCTCTTAAAGACTGCCTCAAAAGCATTGTAGAATTTGTTATGATCATCAAGAATAGGAATAAGAATAAGAAAAGAGAAGAATAGAGTAAGCAGAGCAGAGCAGAGCAGAGCAGAGCAGAATAACAGAGTTGGTTGGAAGGGACCTTGAAGGTTTTCTAATCTAACCCCCTGTTCAGGCAGGAAACCCTATTCATTTCAGACAAATGGTTGTCCANGCACATAGACACCCAATTTATAATCATTTCTAGCAATAGTAAAATTGTTTCATTGCAACAAAAGTGATTTAATATTGTAATATCAAAATGATCCCACTGTCATAGTGAGACATGGGCCTATATCTTATTTTTCTGGCCCTTTCCTGGATCTCTCATGTTTCCACAGTTCTATACTCTTTCCCATCTACTCACATATCTTTTCCCCATTAATAGCAGAAAATATACTTTTACATAAGTATAAACCAATGGGGACCAATGCGTCATGCACTGGCCACGGCCACCGATTTAGCAAAAGGGGAAAAAGTCGCGATATGTCACGTGATGACGACGTGAGTTTGACACCCCTGGGTTGGAGCATAGAATGGGCAGGACTTGGGAGCTGCATAGAAAATGCCTATGGATTGCATATCTGTATTCTAAATAATCAAAAGTTGATTGATTATATACATTAGGCATTTGCCAGGATACATAGATTATATAGGCTGTTTAATAATGATTTGGATTCAATATAATAATTGTGTTTTTGTGTGTATTCTTCACTTAGGTTTTTTCTAGCGTTCAGAGATTCGCATTGTCCTTTATGAATCTTTATTCTGCTGGAAACATGCTTTTCCGAAACTGGATTGCTGACATATATTGCTCACCTGAGAGTCCGTTTTGCATTAATATAAACTTTAATTTAAATTCTATCCGTAACCTTTGTGGAACTGGAGATGTGGCAGAACTTCTGCCAGGCATGTGCAGGAAGATGGAGAGTTTTCTGGAGAGGTGGAATCAGTTCATGTCTGAGAAGCGATCCCAGTATTTGTATTTGAATTATTACATGGCTGACCAGCTTGTATATTTATGCAAGGAGCTTGGGTCACGGAAACCCAGTGAGTCTTCCTTAATGATGCTGTCCTTCATAAAGCACAACTGCAGTAGACAAGATATTGAAGAAGTCTCTAAACTAGTGATACCTGAAATACCAAATAGTGTTGATGTAATGTATAAACTTCCGGCAAGTGGAAGAGAGTTGACTGAACACCTGGAGGAAATGTGGGAGTCCTACATGGAGAACATGGGCTTATTTGTTCCAGATTGCTTTGATATTGAAACTCTTGGTGGATTCTTATCTAATTTGGCAGATTTGGAGAAAAGGTCTGTTGTGCGAGTATTACCACAAGGACTTCATAGTAGGCAGCCCAACCTCATTCTCTGCCCTCGCTCTGAAATTTTGGTTTCCACAATTTCCATCTATATGAACAGTCCAGAAGAGATGCTACCCTCTTACGATGAAGTTTTATTGTGCACACCACAAACTAGCTACGAGCAAGTGGAATTGTTTATGAGGCGATGCCTTACTCCAAACTCTAGAGAGAAGAAGATTTATGCCTTACTCTTTGCAGATGAGTTGAGTTACGATGTTAGCTATAAGTTAGAGGAACTATACCAAAACCTTCATTTAAAACATAGCAGTGACTTCCGTTTAGTGATGTTCTGTAACTGTGAGAGAGAACACTGCTATATCCCCTCTGTTTTTAGTAATTTCATCATTCACATGACCCCTCTTCGGCCCCTAAAAGACATTCAAAGTTACCTTGGGAAGCATTACAAAGCCACTCAGCTTGGAAATCCATCAACTTCCATCTTCAAGAATAACATGTGTGTTGGAATTGTATCTTCTGAAAGAGCTGGAATGGGTGAGAAAACCAAGTTCAAATAATCTCCCATCTTGGAAATATAATCATAGTTTAGCAAGCAAAGAATGACCCACATTAGAGTAATAGTTAATAATTAATATTAATCAGAGTTCTTTATAAGAAATCAATTTCAAAACATGTTAGTGATGTGCTATGTTAGTAGTACAGTACTAGCAGTTAATGCTATAGTTAATTAAAATTGTCATTTTAATTAACATGTAATGTTCTAAACTTATTGTTCACTACACTGGAAAACTAGAGGAAAAGAGAACTACGTAAAAGTGATGTCAGGGATCCAAATAGCATCCAAAAGTAAACCAGAGTCCAAGGCAAAGTATTGCTCAAAGTTCCAATTTATTAAGAGAGACATGTTGGCACATCTGGGAAAACCCGAATNTTGTTACACTGATTAATTGTTCTACTGTCAGGAAATTTCTTCTGATTATGATGGGCAGGCTCCATTACGGTTGTAACTTTAGGACTACCTGTACCAAAGCTTGCTATGGTTTCTTCTTATATTAGTGAATTGTTATTTTCAAGAAATTTGGATGTCTGCTGTTCTATTATATGCTTTGGATTTACCCTGAATACTAAAAGTCTTGAAATGAAAAATACATGCAGGAGATATTTATGATATAGAAATGCACTTTCTTGTCAGAATCCCAAGATTCAAGAAAACTCTAACTGAGAAAATTGAAAAAAGGTTTCTCTTCAGAATGTTTTTTTTAGCATCTCCATCTCTGGCAGAAAGGTTGAGAAATCAGTGTTCTTTTTTTCAGTGTAAGAGTCTGGAATGATTGAAGTAGGGCATAACTTTCTTTGGAACAAACAAAGGACTACTTCAGTACTATTTTTGAGTAATAGAAGAAAGGAACTTGCTGATGCAAATTTAGATAATAAATAAATAAAATGTTAATGAATAAAATGATTCTAAAATGATTAGAAATTACCTGATCTTTTTGTAACCAGCTAATTGACAGCGTTACCCAAAATTTATATGGGTAGCCATTGTTTAATGACTGCCTCATTTAATGGTCATTTGTAGTTATGATGGTGATGAAGAATATTCATGTTTATGATTTTCATAGGTGTGTAAAGCAAATGAAAGCTGAAATAAGCTCATAAGCACAGTCAAGGTTTCACTTAGCAACTGCTTGATGACTAAGTTGCTGTTGCCAATTGTGGTTGCTAAACGAGAGTTACCTATATGTGTGGGGTAATGGAAGGGAAAAATATTTCCACTTGGATAATAAAAAAACAAGAGATTGCAGGGCCACCCTGTGAAAAAAATGTTAATATTTGACAAAAAAAAACTTCTGTCTTCACTCTTACAGATGACAACCTTCTCCAGGCTCCTGACTGCAGCAGACACAGAGATTTTGGAGGCAGAATTGCAGCATAATTCAGACAGCCTGAAAGTTTTGTTCTTACAACAATTTGACACAGAGTACTCATTTTTGAAGGACATTCGGTGAGTTTTCCTCAACCACAATGATTACAGAATAATGCAGATTTGTATGTTCCTTTATATCGTCTCCGAGGTGGGGTGTGGGAGGAGTCACTGATAGGGTATTGTTACGGCCCAATTGCCTGGAGACTGAGGTAAATCTGAGGACACTCCCTCTGCTCCTCCTTCTGACTCCCCAGATTAACCTCAGTCTTCGGCCTAACAGGAGCTATTTCGTGACTCTCCGGATTCTTTTCTTTTCACTTCCTATTCTTCTTAATCTCCTACCTCTTTCTCTTGTGCCACTTTTA